ATATTTTGCCTTAAGCAAACATTAAAAAGAAATCTCATAAGCAATTTAAAAGATTTATTGACAGAAGTTCCCAACAGGACAGATGTTGTAGAACCACTGTGGCCTTGGACCCTATTATCCAAGCACAGAAAACTCTTAGCTATGTCATTTGACTTCTCTTCAGTTCATGTTTAATTTTGCTGTATGTTAGTGTGAAAAGTACTACGGAATGTAGAGAGGACTTCAAAAGACTCACTTATCCACAGTGTTGCTTAAACCATCTGAGAGAGGTAGAAATTATTCTAAGATTTATAATAAAGGGAGAGAATGTCATCAAAGTACAAAGATGGGTCTTGCATTTACGTAACCAGTTACTCATCTACTGTTGAGGATGGAGAAACAGCATGTTGAGGTAAGGCAGTTTCATGCCCCTGTGAGGAGTGAGGTGCTCCTGGGGCAAGCAGGGCCCCCCTGGATAGAGAACTTAGAATATCAGCAGAGCATTCTTCCTGCTGTGAATAACTGAGATGCAGACAGGTATCCTGATTCTTCAGCCTCTCCTCTGCTTTTCTCATAGTTTCACGAGTCACTCATCTACATAAGTTAGTTGATCTATGTGTATACTCAGGAAAGTATTCCAAAGGTCTCTATGGTATGTCCTTATTAATCTAATAGAACTTAAAGTTCAGCAACACTAGACTCATGGTGGAACTCTAAGCAAGTGCTTGGGTCTCAATTTCCACCTTTTCTGAAGATGCCTGTCTTTCAATCAGGACTTCTTCAATTAAAGCATGAAGAACCACCAAAATATACTAGGCTACACTGCTAAGTGAACATGATCCATTAAATAAATAAACAAGTGGCGTTAGGGACTATCTTCGTGCTGTTGCACCTATTTTTGGAAATGGACATGTCACTGTTTCCACAAACCTTTGAAGATCGCAGTCCTCTGTAATGAGAAACTAGTACATAAGTAAATTTTTACATTATTATAAACTACAAAGAGATTTAATTATCCAATTTAATATTCAAGTCTACATAAAAAAAAATCAATGACAACTGCTTTATTATTAAAAGTTACTGAATTCCATAAAGCACACAATGTAATTTATATTCAACTAACAAAAGTTTGGTACATGTATTTAAAAATATATAATATATAGATTTATGTCTTAACATTTATATTCTATTCAAAAAGCAGCAGCTTTACATATTTTACAACTTGAATTTATAAAATATATACATCCACCCTATTCAAATCCTCAAGCATGAGCTTCCATTCCTATTAATAAAATGCACAATCTGTATTTCTGAATATTGAGAGAAAAATGGTACCAACTAAAAACAACAAATCACTTTAACTTGAACATGGACTTAATTCTTGGCTACCAGATAACTGACATGATAATCTGTTCGATTAATGATTTTACCCCGAGAATGACAATCAATTTGCATTTATGTAAATAATCTGTGGTTAACTATTAAGAGACTCGCATTTATATTCATGGTATCTGACATTCTACCACATTCCTCACTAGTCTTGTTTCAGGCTTTAGAATTAGAGAGGTGGGATTATTCAATTTTTCCATTTACCAGGAAATTTGACAAGTGCGGCCGCACCTAACAAGCCAAAGCCCAGAACCATGCTTTGCCTTTGAGAAAACTGCTTAGAATTACTGCAAAAGCAAACTTTTGACAAAACCCTGACAAAGTATGCACCAAGAAACAGAACAAGAACGGTTTCTCTTTCTCCCTGTCAACTGCACTCAACTTGCACAACTGCAGTTCTTTAGGTATGGTAAAACATACCAGCTTCTAGTCAAGCTTTCCTTCCACATATTCAAACATGTCTTCAGATATTATATGGTTTTATAAACAATTTTTTGATAAAACAGTCAAATAACCATTCTGGAGATTCATCCTCAACTATCAGTCCCAGTAACTTTTGAGAATTAAAGTCACAGAGAACACCTCAATCATCAGGACGATAGTCAGAACCAGAACTTCAACTTTAAAGATAAAGATCTAAAGTTTGAAGTACATGTGTAGACTCCACGGGCCTCTAATGATAATGATGCATACAAGCCTGTCTTTAATGCAGTTCATGCTGAGAAAATTAAAGTCTCCCACAAATTATTTGAAAAAAAGAAAAAAAGTTCCAAATCTCAAAATGGCTTAGAAATTTAAATGGAAAAAACACTTTTACCAAAACAATTAATTCAATTCATTTGGGCAATAATTAGACTTTGGGAGAGTCACCATCCAAAAAGTAAGCAAAACTCCCTTAATATTAGTATTTAAGAACTAAATTACAATTAACAGCTCATTTATCAAGTAGTCAATTATTCAATAAATTTAGCCACCTACTCTTGAACTGAAATAAAGTATCAGAAATTCTACATATTTTATCTGTAGGAAGGAGTCCTCTTATTTAAGAAAAAATTTCTGATGTAATTTCAATAGTCTTCCTTCTCTGGATTCCCTAACCTCAAGAAAAGGAAGGAGCAAAGAAGGAAGGAAGGGAGAGGGAGAGGAAAACTTCGGGAAACTGCTCAAGACCGACATAGTGAACATCTGTGAGAAGACAGGAAGAAAGAAGAGAGAGAAAAACAAGACTGCAAAGAGGATTGGGCCAAGTGGTGCAGATTAAAAGACACCTTCACAGATCTGAATCATGCAAAGGCATTAGCATAACATAGAATCGTGCAGTAGCTGATTTTGGTAACAGTGAATCCTTAGAGAAGATATGGGTAAGCCTCAGTTCTTTTAGAAAACCAATTTATATACACTTAATAATCCTAAGCATTCATCTCGAATATGTACAAAAAAATTAAATAAAAGTGAGATCAAGAAATATAAGCAGCAGTGACCATAAAGGCTTAGAACTAGTGACACTGAATTCTTTATTTAAAAAAATTTTTGAACACACAGTACCTCCTCTTCTCTTCTATTTTTAGGAAGAAGTTGTAACAAGTTTAAATATCTCAATTCTCAAAAACAATAGGCTTTTTAAAAAATAAGATTTGATTACCAGAAACAAGTAATACCATGGTTACATACCATTTTCATATCACTACTGATTTCCATTATTTGTCAATTCATCTTTGATGCAATCTGGAAATAATTAAGCAGTCACTAGATACCTGTTTTAGAATCTGAAGAAATTATTATTCACCACAGGAATCTAATGATATATATTTGCATATATTTAAAATTTCAGAAGGGAAAAAGTAATAAACTATTCTAGTTATTTTATACCAAATATTTATATACCTAGTCAAAACAAATAAGGATTAAGGTCTTTCTCCAGATGAACCCTATATAAAAGCTATTTTTTAGCATTTTCTTTTGGGGATTAAAAAAAGCTTTATGTCCCTGCTAGCTAAAAGGAGGAATTCATACACTACAAGTGAGTCCTTTAGAGGTGAATATTAAATTCCTTAAGAGAACAGCCATAAAATGTATTTTAAAAAATTTATCTTAAAAAACTGAAAACCATTTCTCTCATTAAAATCTATGGCATTAATACCTACTTGACATAATATTTTTTTTTTTGAAAGGGCACCAAGTTCATGATATAAACATGCAAAATAAGGAAATGAATGTATCACTGCCTTAACAGAATTTGGCAAACCAGAAGAATGGCCTTAAAATAAATAAATAAATAAATAAATAGAGAGTACATATTGTCTAAATATGAAAGTATAATTCTGTAGGCCTATGTAGCAGACAGTGCCCCATAGAGCAAGGGAAGAGGGAAGTAGCATATTCCTATGTACATTTTCTTGGTATTCTGGTTGTCGTTCAACAACGTGTTACAGAGAAATATTGTTTATTATTACAAAGTCATTAATTTTGCTCTCTAGAGCAATGACTTAAGTAAACATCTTATGTCTTTTAATAATGTAACTTACATTTAAAATCAACTTAATTAAATCCAAGTGCAAAGGAGTTTCCAATAATTCCTAAGTTCAAGGGAGTAATGTAACGAATAAAGTGTTATCTTATTGCAAATTTTGAATGATTGGTATTTCTATATTTTAGGATATTTCACCTTCTCTTTAAACCGTAAAGTGTACTGAAATTATTTGGTTTCCTTTACTTTCCTCTGCTTCATTTTAATTTATTTTATGATATCTCTAGGTAGAGAGAGAGGTATCTTAAAATACTGCTATTTTTATTTTACAAAACTCAACTGAGGCTATATACCACCTATTAATCTACAGGACAGCATTGTTCATCTTTGACCTGGTATATTAATTCCTTTGGTGAATAAATGTCACAGGTCATTTCTTTATAAAAGAATTTTAGTAAGAGGACCAGCATTATGGAGAAAGATTCCCCCACCCCCACAAATGATCAAGTCAATCAGTTTAGAGTTGTGTAAAATATGAAAAATATATAATTTGTCACTGCAATTTTCATATTAAAAAGCAGTTAAAAACTAAGAGTAGCTCAAGCATTCCAAAAAACATTTTTTGTCTTGGTTAAACAGGGCAACTAATAAGACTGATAGAAACTACTGTGAGAACTTAGGTGTATCTAGTGAAGAAAGAACAAAAATGTGTTTAATTTCAAAAAGTGGTAGTTGCTAACTATAGTATAAACAGTGTCCACAATTTGGTGGCTGGCCATAGTTTTAATTTGTTTTTCAAGTTATTTCTACAGCAGACATATTTTTGAAGTCTACCCACCCCTGAGTTCAGCAATTATACTTTTAGAGTGTAAAATTATATGCCCTTAATTAACAACATGTACAAAGCTACAAAATGTCATCTATACAGAGATTAAAAACAATTTTGAAAATACTCCTCGCCAATTATTGATTGGATGGTTTTGCTGGGGTACATACTTCAAACCTTTCAGCCAATTGGCTTTTAGTTTTAAGCCCAAATTGATTCATATATTTATTCACTGCAGGATATGTCAAAAAGAGTGCAACAACAGCATTAGTAAAAATAACATTGTAGTAGAAACAGATTTTTGCATATGTGAAAAGGTAATTTATAAAATACATAATCGCTTTTTAAAAAGAGAACCTAGTTGCAGTATCATTAACTTACATGGTACTGAGAATTGGACGTTTCAACAATTTTTTTCTATAGAAAACTTTATCTAGCTGTAAGCAAAGTCTTTTAAACAACAAGAAAACAAAACTAATCCCTCCAGGAAAAATTGTATGGTTGTGTGAGACAAATAAGCAAACATACCATTCTATAGTGTACTTTTGCCTAAATTTTAAAATAAAAATGTCCACACTCTTTTGTTAAAACATTAAGCCTCTGTCAAAAATGTATTTCTTATTTTAGGGTACAGGATTAAAGGACATAATGATACTTACAAGTAAAGAAAATTTACAGGAAAAAACTTGACAAAAATTTTCCAATTGAAGTACTGTAACATTCAATCTTGACTTAAAACATAACAAAAGAAACAAAATTGCAAACAAAAACTGTTTATGGATTTTCCAAACATAAATAAATGAAATAGTGTTTAGGCAGTAGGGCTCATGCTGATGGCTAGCAGGAAGTAACAGAGTGTAATCTACTTGGAAAAACTGTTAATGTACAAATAAGCCCAAATTATGGACTGCAGCAGTTGAATCATCACTGCCATTTTTCTTACTTCCAAAATAAAGCCTTGATTAAACCATTCATACCCTATATTACTCATACCTTTACTTCAGATATTGAGGAACTATATACAACAAATGAATTTATTTTCACCATAGGGATAACATATTGTACCTCTCTGCCAATGTTACTTGAAAACCTTCCATGTCAAAACAATTTGACAGCAGATATAAACAATTCAATAAATACGCAATGATCTTTCATTACAGTCCTTTAAAGACGCATGTTAATTCATGCCGTTAACCTTAGGATCACAGTGCATAGAATCCAAATATAAACAGTTGGGGTGACTTTCAAGGTAATGTTGGATCCCTCACTTTATTTATAATCCCACTATAACCAATAAGTTCATTTCATAGGCCCTATCATGCATTAATCATTGGGTGGCAGGAGTTAATGAAAATTTTTCCTGTTAAACGTCCATTGCCGGCAATGAACGTCCCAAAACCGCCAAGGAAGTCATTGTTATTGCACAATACATGAGGACCTGGAACTTTTCCAAAAGCTTAAAAAAATAAAAATAAAAAATGGAATTATATTTGACATTTCCTGACACCTGCATTAATACTGTATGACTAATAAAAGCATGTCAGTTGCCTGGACTGAACCAGCGATCAACATGCGCCCAGAATGCACACGAGTAAAAATGCAGTAAAAGGAAGTAGTCTTCATTGCCTATAGGTCACTTCCAGTCAAAGGTTAAAGTTCAAAGACTGAATGATCAAAGTGCTCATTTTCTCAGTAGGACTATCTTCTGCTAGGAGGATGATAACAGTGGCATCAACAAGTATCATCTTTAAGAAAAGGAGAAAAAAGATAATTAAAAAAGTCAAGCCTGCATAAGTAAAATCCACAAGTTAGCCTAACATATAAATAATTTCAAGTAGCAAGAAGAACATGATTTATTTGTCTGACTTGCCTCCCCCAATCCTTGCAAATAAAAAGTCCAATTTGTGTTCAATTATATAGTGACAAACACATCAAATTCAATTCTTTCATGGAAATGTAGTTCACATAGATCTTAAATGATGCATTAATTAGTGTGTTAGTTCTACTTAAAATAATAAATTGATATATGTTAGCACATATTCAGGATTTATCTCTCAAGAGTTGTTTTAAGGGCCACAATTTTAAATTATAATGAGACAGGATGCAAACTCCTGACCAACAGTGTCCTACTATTTAACACAGGATAATACAAGTGTGCCTTTAGTCTATGAAGGAAATAACTTCACAAATAAGGTATGATCTCCAAATCAATTAATACATAGTCAATGTTATTAATTTCTCTATGGAAAATACATTTAAAAATACATTTTTCAGCAAGTATAGATACATATGCAAATGAGGTTAAAAAAACTAAAATAATTTAGTAATGACTTTTGGTAGCCTCAACACATCATATTTATGTAAGACATGAAATTTGGGGATTCATAACTTATTTTACAAATTTTATTTCACAAGACATATCTGAAGGATTTATTTTGAGGACTGGTTACTCTTCAGAAAGAGGCTTTAGAAAGAAGACTAGTAACAACTACCCAAGAATTGTGAAAGCTCTCTAAAACATTTCTGAAAAATTGGCTAAAATACTTTATAAAATATCCATGTTAGGATCAATACACTGTTAATAAAATCCCCATTCCCAATGATTCAATGAGAGCTAAAAACCAGTATATCTGAATTCTCTGCTAGGCAAACTCGTGGAATATTCCATCCCCTGTACATTAAGGGTGATCTAAAGGGTGAAATATATTGGATTTTTAAAATAAATCTTACCTAAATCATTAGAATTCTTTGAAGAAATAGTATCTTTAAGAAGGAAGTAAATGGACAGTTTATAGTTTCTAAGTGTCACATGAAAGTATGTTTCCTCAATTACTGTGGAACTTGGAATACAGAGGAGATACAGATGTCATGGATGCAGAATATAAAAAATGTTAAAACATCACTTTTCCAACAGAGTAATTTATAATATTAGGGTCCTTGAAATTAATACTCAAACTAACCGCCCTTAGATCTCTAAGCTAAGGGACTGCACTAAATTCTGATAGGTCAAACTTTAAGTATCATACCATATGACAATGTATACAATAAAAAGGTGAGACAAAATTCAATTTGAACATCATATACCTAGTTAACTGCCAAAAATAAGCTTTTATTTCCAAAGATATCATCTCTGATAGGTGATACTGTAAATGTATCTGCATCAGGTTGTTCATTTTGGAAGTTTTTCAGTATAGTGGGCTGCTGTAGAATGTGCTACAATCCACCAAAATGAGTAAGAAATCCATACAAAACTATTCTCCCTACCCTAATCTCCACTCTGGATCAGAAGTTAAAAAAAAAAAAAAATTAGAGGACGAATATGATACTCCCTGCCTTAAATACTCTATCTTTAGAGAAATAAATGTACTAAGTAAGTTTTGAAAATAGAGTTCCATGAGCTCTGATAGCTGGACCCACAAGGACACATGGATTTAACATTACAAATCCATCATGGCTATAAATAACCAAAGAGTCTATGAGCAAATACTTAAGTATGGAGACAAGTATGAGCCAAAGCCAGGCAAACTTTTTCCTAGGAAAAAAAGGCCATCACTAAGAAGCAAAAAACTCATTTGTTAGCAAAAGGAACACAGTTTCCTAACTAGATGAAAAAGATTACTGAATACCAGGATGACCTACAAAAAAAGGTTGTTAATTTAATAAGATCAAGACAAATATAGGTCTATAAAACATGGTCAAATAACACAATATATCTAACCTCTTGAATAAAGTATTTGTAGCAAAATGAAGGCCTGGAAAAAAAATCTTAGATTAATCCCTTAAACTTTTTTTCTGGAACTGTGTAAGCGCTTATTAAAACTATACCCTCAAATATAATACACAAATCACCAGTTCCAAAGAAGTGACATCTACCATGGCTAACTTCACTAGGCTTCTGGGAAATATGAGTGGAAGAGAACTATATTAGAAGCATGTCATTTAGTTTTCCCGAGTATAAGAACCATCCAATTATAATGGACACCACAACCATCACATTATATTGGAAACCACCTCCCTGGATATTCCCAGGGACAAAAGACTAGAAAAAAAGGAACACAGTAATAAGTCAGTAGATATGAAGTGGGATCCCAATTCTAAGAAAGACAAAAATAAATCTTTACAGTTAGGTTTGTGTCTTAACAGTTTAGGGAATTAAAATTTTACTTTGATGAACCAGTTCAAGAAAGATTTCACAATAGACAACAGAACTGTTATCTAGCAGGAAATAAAGGGAAAAGGCTGTTCAGCTGTGTAAACATTTGGACTTAGGAATTTAGAAAATGATTTTGTAAGGTAGTGCAAATAAAAAGGTTTACACCTAACATAAGTAGTTCTATGGACTACTATAAGTTCTATAGCCTCTATAAGTACTATAGTTCTATAGACAGCTATAAGACAGGAAGAAAAAGAGTTTACCAATACTAGCCTGAGACAATTTTATGTTCCTATCCCCTTATAATCCTTAAAATTTTACAGGTCCAGCTGAATGGAACCAGAATGTAGTTTAAAGTTTTGTAAAAAAAATAATAATAAAAAAAAAAAGAGCGAGGTATTCTTCTACTCCTCCCCAAACTTATAAACTCAACAGTTTACTGGACATAACATTATGCCAATCTATTTCCTGTAAGCCTAGTTTTCTGAAGCCAATACTCAATAACAGTCTTAAGCTATACTGCTCAATTCTCTTATCACCTTAAGGAAAATGCTTCAAGAACCAGATCAGTACTGCCATTTGTGAAAAGCAATCATTATGAAACTAAGTTATATACATTCAATATGGATCCCAGGAAACAGATGGATCATATTATTAATGGATTCTATTGGCTATCTTATTGAAATATTTTTATGATTCCATAAAAAGATACTTTTTCTCTTTTTCAAGAACAATTATTTCTGTTTTGATACTGAACTTTAGGTTCATTCATTCATTTGTGTGCTAAACTGGATACATTTGTGCACTAAACTGGCTACCATCTTAGCCCTGAATTATAGGTAAATTCCCCTTATGTATGCGGAAATGAGTTGTCTATTCAAATACCTATTTTGGTTAGTTCCCTTTATTTTTTTAACCCTATTCTCTCCATTTAACCAATTTTTCAAAGCATATGGACCCCTGGCCTTAATTTGCAACACAGAATATTTGTATCCCAATGGCCTTAATTCTTTTTTTTTTTTTTTTTAATTTTTTTTTTCAACGTTTATTTATTTTTGGGACAGAGAGAGACAGAGCATGAACAGGGGAGGGGCAGAGAGAGAGGGAGACACAGAATCGGAAACAGGCTCCAGGCTTCAAGCCATCAGCCCAGAGCCCGACGCGGGGCTCGAACTCACAGACCGTGAGATCGTGACCTGGCTGAAGTCGGACGCTTAACCGACTGCGCCACCCAGGCGCCCCTCAATGGCCTTAATTCTTTAGTGAATAGAAACTATCAAAGAATTCTGGAAAACAGGTTAATAGTAAACTTCAAGTAAGTAACAGTAAGGAATGTGTGTTCACATCTCAGGAAATTTTTGCACTTTAATATTAAGGAGCTAGAGAAGAATCTCAAAAGAAATGCAGAAAGAAATGCAGAAGATATGATACTACAAAGAGAGTAACAGTAGGGTAGCAGTGACTGTCCTACATTTTCAAAGTATACTAACAACGTGGAAGATCACAGATTTAAGTTGAAAGAGGCCTTTTTTTTCAAGCACCCAACAATGGTATCTATCTGGCAGCTCAAGTCTGGTGTATCAGCAGAAACCTACTCTTCCAAATCCAGGAGATCTTCTGAACTGCTGAATTATTGTTTTTCATTAATAGTGGCATTCATCCTGCAGCCAGGAAGCCCTCTCAAGTGCATAGATATTATGAAACTAAACCCAAACCTCCCTTGTCTCTTTTGATTACAAACACTGACGAACACTCTGACCCACGTTGACCCAAGGACTGTGGCGCCTATACCTGAGGCCCACAATTCTGCTTGGGCAGAATTCAATTTCTTCTAGAAATTGAAATGTTAAGTGTTTCAGTAAGTTCATCCAATTCCAAGCAAGTCTTTATTTAGTCTCTGGATCTTTTTGTTTAAGTTTGTAGGTCATGTCAGGACACTGGCCTGACCTTGTAGCCCTTTCAGAATTAGATGATGCTAAGAAATTACAAGAGTCCATATTTCTTGGTAATTTGGTGTTATAAGGAGAACATGATTGATCAATGAAGATCTTTTGGAACTAACGCAGCTAAACAGAAAAACACATAAGCTGACATCTGGAAAACTCAAAACAAAGCTGACGTATTCTGCTTTATGAGTGAGAGTATGATTACCTTTTTGATAAGATTTTTCAAATTCAGCTGTAAGGTCAAGGTGAGCTATTTCTCACATTGCTTATAACTGTCACTCTGAAATGTATAAAGGCAGAGATAATATATGCTACACAGCTGAAATGCTTTAGTTTTTAAAGATGAAGGAAAAGTTCAAGGAAGACTGTCTATACCCACTCACCTTTTTTTTTTTTTTTTAATTTTTTTTTTTTCCAACCTTTATTTATTTTTGGGACAGAGAGAGACAGAGCATGAACGGGGGAGGGGCAGAGAGAGAGGGAGACACAGAATCGGAAACAGGCTCCAGGCTCTGAGCCATCAGCCCAGAGCCCGACGCGGGGCTCGAACTCACGGACCGCGAGATCGTTACCTGGCTGAAGTCGGACGCTTAACCGACTGCGCCACCCAGGCGCCCCCCCACTCACCTTTATGAAAGAGCAGCTGCTCTATCATCTCAAAGTATAACTAGTATTACCCTTTCTTGATTTCATATGATGGTCACTCATGAAGCAAACTGTCGATTTAAAGAGATTCTGGGAGGGGAATGATTCAGGTATGCAGGGTTCAAGCATGAGTACAAAACGTACTGAGTTAAGAACAGTCACTGTAAATCAATAATCTGAGAATGTTTTAAACAGAATTATCTGTAAATGAAAAAAAAAATGTATCTGTACCCGGGACTGGAAACTGAGCTAGAATAGTCATAATTTAGTTGAAATACAATCCAGTCCTTTAAAGATGGCTAATTTGTATTTTGGGGGCAGGAAGGGGGAGAGACACTTTTAGTCTGTTTATTTGTAAAATGAACTCCTGGACACTAAGAAGCTAATTTACTTTGAAAAGCCTCCTTTTCTTAGTACGTTTTGGCTAAGGTGGAGAATGTAATAGTCCAACCTATTAAAAGACTTTTTCTGGGGCGCCTGGGTGGCGCAGTCGGTTAAGCGTCCGACTTCAGCCAGGTCACGATCTCGCGGTCCGTGAGTTCGAGCCCCGCGTCAGGCTCAGGGCTGATGGCTCGGAGCCTGGAGCCTGTTTCCGATTCTGTGTCTCCCTCTCTCTCTGCCCCTCCCCCATTCATGCTCTGTCTCTCTCTGTCCCAAAAATAAATAAAAAACGTTGGAAAAAAAAAAATTAAAAAAAAAAAAAAGACTTTTTCTATTTTAGTTATGAAAGTATAAATTTCTCAGTTAACAGATAAAAACTATTAACTATGAAAAATAACTTCTATGAAGTGTATTTTGTTTTAAATAATTAATTTTATATTTCTAGTTTCACTATGGGACTTTTCTCCATCTCTTTTTTTTTTAAAGTTTATTTATTTATTTTGAAAGACAGAGAGTAGGGGAGGGGCAGAGAGAAGAGGGAGAAGGAGAATCCCAAGCAGGCTCCACAGTCAGCATAGAGCTGGACATGGGGCTCAATTCCATGACTGTGAGATCATGACCTGTGCCAAAACCAAGAGTTGGATGCTTAACCAACTGAGGCACCCAAGCGCCCCTCTCCATTTCTTATTCAACAGCACGTAATGACAAATTCTGGGAATATTCTTGGATAAAGGACTTCTCATAAGTCCTTTTATCTATATAAGGCAGCATCAGAGGGCCCGAAAGACTGTATCTTTCTGAAATTTCCCTACCAGGGAGTAAGGAAGGGAAAATGTACGAACACACTGAGGCAAGATAGCAGTTTATACGTTCAAATTATATGTATTTTTAAAATTCATCACTCCAAGACAATTTCCTCTCAAGTTTTATTAGAAAACACAAGTGGCTTAAAGTCTATGGAAAAGACAACGGGGCATTTTTTTATGATTAGTGAAGTTGAGTTTGAAACAGAAGCACTATACTATCTTTAGACACTTTAAAACATGTTTGATTTAGTGTGTTTGTCAATATTGATTGACTAATCTGAATTTTTGATGAATCTGGGACTTTCTATGCTAAGATACGGGGTCTGTGACACTCAAGAATTTTTTTTTTTGGAAGGAAGAGGTAGTTTGGTGTTTGGTCCTAGGCAAGAGGATGAAAAAGAATGACAAGCCAGCAGTGTAAATTGAATTAAAGGGCTGTTTACTTAAAGTAGGGTCTTAAATGTTTTAGTAGACTTTCAGTGCTCAGAAAGAATTCCTTAAGTCTGATTATTAATTCATTTTATATGGAAACCTGTCCTTTTATATCTCAGAATCCCTGTAACGGTAGTCCTCAAGCGTCAAGCTCTATCAGAATTATCTGGGGATACCTTAAAGACTAAAACAAAACCAGCATTCTAGGCACAGTAATAAAGTTTATTATAAATTCTTTAAAAGAGAAAGCAATCAACAAGACTTTGCTGAAGGAGTTCCTGAGGGTGTGTGTAGCGGAAGGATTCGTTGAGGTAGGTGTGTTTGTGTGCATGTCTGTGCCTGGAATGAATCCAGGCAAACAGTACGTAAGATAACAAATAGTGTGTATTATAAATAATCCTCCACTGAACATTCCATGTATAAAACACTTCCTGTTTTAAAAATGATTTTCTTAGGATTGGGGCACCTAGGTGGCGTAGTCTGTTAAACATCCGACTTGGGCTCAAGTCATGGTCTCACAGTTTGTGAGTTCAAGCCCCGCATCAGGCTCTGTGCTGACAGCTCAGAGCCTGGAGCCTGCTTCGGATTCTGTGTCTCCCTCTCTCTTTGCGCCTCCCTTGCTCACCCTCTTTGTCTCTCTCAAAAATAAATAAATATTTAAAAAAAAAATTAAAAGATGATTTTCTTAGGATGGATTCTCAGAAGTTGGTAACTCAGACAAAAGTCTTGATCTTACACTTTGTTAAATATTGCTGAACTTGCTATACCATCAACAAATACGAAAGCACTATTTTTTTTCTACTCTTTATTCTTTTCCAAGATTGCACTCATTTTATACAACTCTGCCAATTCAAAAATAATTTCAAAATATTAAATCTGTAATTATTTTACTGTGAAGTTTTTGGCCAATGTTTTTTATTAATTTTATTTATTATGTTAAGCAACTCTCATAAATGGTCTTTATTTTTAATAAACTGTAAGTGTTTTTCACATTTTTAAAATAAAGGTTGGCTGTGCTTTGAGGTTTTCTAAAAGGTTTAAATTTTCATACAACTCTTTAATACTTAACATTTGTGATTCCTTTTGATTTCAGAAATTCTTCCTTCCTCTAGAGATGATCCCGAACTTTAAGAAAATAGTTTCCCTTGTTTAAAAAAAAAGTACTTAATTCAATCCACAGGAAATATTTTATATATGAAGTAAAAATGTAAATTTTTCTTTCCCAAAATGATTACCAACTTTCTAACAGGTTAACTTACTAAATAATTTTTTGCCTTCTGATTTGTGACACCTAATTCACCATATATTCAAATCTTATATAGAAAAGGCCTAGGAAAGAGTAATTCTATTTTGATGTCTATTCTTGCATTAATATGTTTTGGTATTTAGTAGACCAATTCTCTTTCATCATCCTTTAGTTCAAAATCCAAACTGCTCTTCTCACCTATTATTTTTTTCCAACTTTCAAGCACTCACCCATCATTCCACTGGATTTTAACTAAATTATATTAAACCTATAATTTGAAAATTATATAATATTAGTTTGTCATCAAATATCTCTATTTTTTGATAGCTCTTACAAGTTTTGTCATTTTTTCTTGTAGGTCATCTATAACTGTCATTAACATGAGTATTTACCTTTCCATGGTTCTTAGGGGCATTCCTCTTTCACTATGCTTTCTAACATGTAACTGTTGGCATAGTGCTATTGTATTGATTCTAGCCATCACTTATGTCAACACCTACAGAACTTTAGAATTTAAAAAGTTTTTAATTGACTCAAATTAACTTAGGTAACAGAAGGTTTCACAATTGATAGAAAGATAAGGGGGGAAAGATCATATTCTTACTAATTAGCTGTCAGTTCTCATTTCTTTTTTAATTTTTTTTTTTTTTTTTTTTTTTTTTTTTTTTTTTACTTTTTTTAAATTTATTTTTGAGACAGAGAGAGAGCATGAATGGGGGAGGGTCAGAGAGAGGGAGACACAGAATCGGAAACAGGCTCCAGGCTCTGAGCTGTCAGCACAGAGCCCGACACGGGGCTCGAACTCACAAACCGCAAGATCATGACCTGAGCTGAAGTCGGCCGCTCAACCGACAGCCACCCAGGTGCCCCAGTTCTCATTTTTTATTAGGCTAACATTTAAAAAAAGAAAAATAAAGGAAATGCTCTGATGAATACATCAGGGTGGTTTTGTTCACTCCCTTCAAAAAGTACACTGAAGAGTATAAAATTTTTGTTGTGAATTTCAAATATACCTCTTTAAGGAAGAGGTGAGGTCAGTTTAGAAAAGACTGGCAGTTTTCAATTAAAAAGCTACCAGCACTCTCCCAACAGAATCAGTAAAACAAAATCAGGGAGAGTACTGTATTCATACAGCTGCAATCAGAAAAACCACAAATTTTTGAGGGCTAACTATTAGAATAGGAGGAGCTTTATTTAATGGATCATCTCTTACAATGGTATTCCCCCTCCTGCCACTAAGAACAGTACCAGAATTAAGTAATTACAAAAGACATCAAAATTTCTATTTTAAGTTAACAGGTTTCCAAATAACTAATTTCAATTTCACTTAAAGATTATTAAAGACTCTTTTTTAGTGATAAAATGGTAGCATTTTAGAATGTTAAAGTGATTTTAGATTTTACTTACATGATAGGTATGATTTTATGTGCCCCATTAAAAATCTAGTCCAACGTATCCATTGAATGTCTTAAATATTTTAAAGACTCTTCTCTATATTACAAAATTACATCAGTTATATATTCCCTTCTTTTCCCCAAACAGATATATAATCTTTCAAACCAAAATGCTAAAATAAAACTGCTTACCATGATACCACCATTTTGTTTTCTTTGGATTCTTGTTACATGTTCGAACATAAAAAGAATTATCTGGTGGTCGTCTCTGAAACCAAAAAGAATTTAAATAGATAAGAAGTTATAAAATAGAAGAAGATTTAAGGAGACAGTTTTAATAAAAGCTTTAGCAGAATTATTACAGACAGCATAAAAAATACAAATGTTTATGTGGCACAAATGAATATATTCCAGGAAAAGTAGAGTCTTGACACCTAAATTAAAAAATAAAATAAAATAAAATAAAATAAAATAAAATAAAATAAAAGGTATGCATGTGTGATTTGGATTAGGTTCCAACTATTAACCCAAAGTGGTAGCATTAGGTTTTAAAGAATTTTGCTTTCATTTATCTCCCTAGAAATAATTTAGTAATTACTTCTAGAAACTAATTAAAAAAAAAAAAAAAGAAAAAAAGTCAGAGAAGTCTACTTTACTAGGTTTGTCTGAGAAACTAACAGCAACTTATAGACCTCCACAAAGAATTATGGTTTTCCTGTAAGATAGTACCACCAAGGACAAACTAAAGGATTCAGTTTCCAAACAATATATAAAAAGAAAAAAGGGGAAAAGCTATGTTGGCATTTCTGCTATACATATGTCCCAACTAGCATAATATTAGAAACATATGGCAGCTCTCCAAGGGAGCTATAGCAGGAAAAGTGATGCCAACAACACTGACGACAGATTATGGAAGGGAATTTCGCTGAAAATGTTGGATACTGGTTACATAAAACAAATATGTGACTCTCTACAAAAATTTGGAAACATGTCAAGTTTGTACTAAAGCCATTGAGGGCAGGTTAGTAGGTAATATGATAGGTCCAACCAACAACTAATGGCGAGCAGGACTGCCTAGACAACAGGAAGGGAGATAGGCAGTCCACTTGGCACTTCTATAACTCAGGTACAGAACTCTGCTCTTAGTTGAGCCTTATAAGTCAATGTTAATAGTGATTTAACAAAAGGGAAGAGTAGAGTATAAGATGTTAAACAGCTATCCCAAGATTACCCTGCTGACACAGATTAAGAAAATACCTGAAAAATTAGTATTATGAAATGAGATGCCTGGCTACCTCAAAGAATAGATGGTCTGTTGCTGTTTGTCCTGCAAAGTCATAATCTGTGTTCATGTGGAATAAACTGCGACCACTGCAACAAATTTCATAAACTCATTTTCTCTGTATATTGATTAGAACCCAATCTTCAAAAAAAAAAAAATATATATATATATATACATGTTTAAGGAAGAAAATACACTCATTCTATTTGCTTAAGTCAAGAATACAACCAAAATACTAAGTGATCACAGAGACATGGTTCTTAGAAAAATAAAGTAACTATACAAAAAGATGGATTACCAAAATTGTTTTAGGGACTGAATACAAGCTGGAAAGTTTGGATAATCTATATTACAAGGGCACTGAGAATAAATGGTAAATTACTGAAAGCCCTCTCAATATCAGAAATTATTTTTAACTACTGAAATCTACTGACATAATGGATTTAAATGCCCTCAGTTTAGGGAACCATTCTTGCCTGTGAAAAAGAAAACTGGAGTGAAAGAATTATGACTAAATCAAAGTTCCAAATGCTTATAGTAAAAATTAAAATTTGTATTCAACTCAAATATTAAAGTGAAACTCACAGCACCACATTGGCCACAGAGTCAAATTCACCTCTTTTAAAAGAAGAGCTTTTGGTGAGTAGTTAAAAGACTTTTAAAAGCTTGTTTGGAGCTAGATCCCCTCAGTTTCAAACCAAGTTTCCTCTTCATGTTTGTAACCTTGTACTTAACACAGTAAAAACAGCACCCAGTAGGTACCTACAAAATGTTTGCTTAATTTTCCTCATATTTCACAGAACTAATGTGGCCAGAATTCTAGCTTCCAGATTATTATCTTGTTTAAATATAATGAAGTTTATATTATATAACATAGCTTGCCAATAATTTAAATGGAACAATTAGTCATTTACTAACTATGCAAGAAAACTAGTAGAAAACTGAAATGTGAATAGTGAGGATTAGAAAAGGATAAAGGAGGTAAAGAATATAGTCATTTCTAGCTTTTAAGAGTAAATCATTACACGTATTTTAAATTACATTAAAATGTAAAAAAGTGCTAATTAATTCAAGGCACATGCAAGAGTTACGTGCACACATCACTGGTGTTCGTCTCAATTTTTCTTATTAAATTTTATACTTAACTGCCTCACCTTTCTGAAGACATTAAACATTAACACGGGCACAGAAGTCTTTGTAACTGCAAACTGCTCTGCTCTACACCTAAAAATTTTTATGTATGCTGGGATTGGAAGTGTGGGGGATGAGAAAATATGGAAGCAATAAATGAGTTAAGAGTTGTTTCCAAAGCCCTTGGGGTTAACAAAAGCTCAAGCGTAGCCTTTATATGCAATGTGAAAAAGCCCACAGGGAAAGAGGAAACTTAAATTAAAAAGTCATACCACAATTAGATAGTATGTACCTTATTTCCTCTATTGTAAGGTGTACATTTTTCTGCACATCTTAATATTCCTGAATGGGGCTATATACCTTTTAACTAATGGTGTAATAGTTTACCGCCGGAAGTTTTTTTCTTTCTTATATTAGGTATATAAAACTGTACGTTAAGGGCTTAGAATGCCATATTTTTAAAAAATACAATTTAAACCATTATTTCCCATACTTCTTTGAACAAAAAAAACCTATTTGTTTTTTTAAAACTAACACCAAGAAACATCTTATGGAACTAACATTCCAAGAAACTTACCTTGCAAACAGTGTCTTGGTGTTTCAGAGTCTAGAGAACTTACCATTTAAAAATGAGCTACTAACCTTCAAGTTCTCTAAACACTAATTTAGTAAAAATGATAGTTGAATTTGGAGAACACAGGAAAAAAAAAAGCTGAAATAACCCCACAGACCCCCTAATACATAAGGTAAATTTGTTTCTCCTTTAAACCGAATACAAAAGGAAATCCTTAAGAAAGAGAGTCTTTAAAATATAGAAATATATGAATATTGTGCTACACTAACCCTCAGGCAGAAATGACAAGAAAATCAGAAATGCACACAGGATTTAGATACTTTAAAAGGGTATCCTAAGTTTGACTCATTTGATTTTTGTTTCTGGTAATTTTTGCCCTTCCATCAGACACAGGATCTGTGGATTAGTAAAGGAGAATTAGAGGGAAGTCCTGAAAATTCTACTGGTAATCTAATCCTCCTCCTTCAACCTAGTCATTATGATGATCATAATGATAGGAAAGCTCTGGCTCCTGGGAAATTCCCTAAAAGAGGATGATAGGGTGGGAGCCAACAGAGTGGAGAAGGGAGCTATGAAAACTTGTTCCTGGGGCTTTCCATTGTGAAATCCAGAAGCAAGAATTTCTTGTACGCATTTGCCCTGTGTATGCTTACAGAAATAAAATTCAGATTATTTAAGAAATCTGCAGAACTTTTCTGTTTAAGAAATATAAAACAATGTCTGACTTCTACGTGGAATGAAAAATTATCACAGTAATTTTCCAATCTATTACTAAACATGATATTACCTATAACTTCATAATAAAAGGCATTAAGTCTTTCAAATAAATCATATATTAAAATAGTTTCTTACCCAAACTAAAAGAACAGATATTACTTGGAATAATTCTGAAAAGTCCTACCTTTTCTTTGCAGCTGGAAAGCATGCTAATAATGCTAAGACAAACTGATTGGACTGAGAGCGCTGGGGACCAGTCTTCTGTTAGAATGGATAAACAGATATGACCATTGCTATAAACATGAGGATGAACAGGAATATTTTCACCAGTAAACATGACCTAAGAAAGAATAAAATTCCATTAACACCCAAATATTCTGTGTTATCAAGAAATAAAATATTCTCCACAGAACTTATTATTCTAAAAACCAACTAAGCAACTAAAAAATAACTGCTCATTGTTTATTCTCATCAATTCACGAAGAACTGGTTTCACTGTATGAATGAGTACATAGGGAATGGTACACATAGGGAAAAGCCCAGAGCATCTATTTTTTATTTCAACTATTTTTCACAAATTCCTTTTAAAAATTCATAAATTAATCATGCATTTTTAGCCTAGCAAAAGACTACTATATTTATAAGAATGCTTTTTCAAATTCTACTCATTGCTCTCTGCATATAGAAATCATATGAAAGTATTCAATTTGGGGACAACATGAATTCTAGATGATAGGAGCACCCCTTCCACCTGTAACAATGCTATCACCTAAGGTACTACATGCAAAAGGAAATGACTGCTATATATAACACCTGCTCTAAACTCACTCGTCCATTATGATGGATACAAATTACTATTTATTAATCAGCAAATAACTATGTGCCTACATACACACACACACACACACACACACACAAATGGTTGAATGAGTCTCTCAATTACTTGTTTTTCTCTGCCTCTTCTACTCAATTCTTCTAACAATTTTTCCTTTCTCCAACTTTCCTTGCCTCAGCACTGTTTTTTGAAAGGTAATAAATCTATTATTCCCTCCTTTGCCCTAATAATTCATTAAGAATCCTGTTAGTGCTTCTTAAACGTATCTACACTGGGACACCTGGGTGGCTCAGTTGGTTGAGCATCCGACTCTTGATTTTGGCTCAGGTCATGATCCCAGGGTTGTGGGATCCAGCCCCGTTGGGGATCCACCCTGAGTGTAAAGCCTGCTTATGATCCTCTCTCTGCCCCTCCTACACTCATGTGTACATTCTCTCTCTCTCTCAAAAAAAAAATGAAGTTGAATAAATACATACATAATAAATGTATTTAAAAAAAACAAAATAAACACATAACTCCATATTTAAAAACAAAACCCCTATGTACACTAAGCATCTGAGTGAGCAAGAGAATGAATTCATACATTCTGATGAATCTGTAAGCACAGTCCAAAGTAGGACAAAGAAAGCAGAAGTCTAATATTTAAGAATGCTTATATATGTTACTTCATAAAAAATTACTTACTTTGATATAAAAATTAATCCACCAGTCTTTACATTAATTTTATGCTGCAGTAAGATGTACCATTTTTATTCTGTTGTTTAGTAGTAATTACTAATTTCTGACCTGACCTTAAAAAAAAAAATCACCTGAAGGTTTGGTTAAAAAATAAGAATTCAAGAGCCCCACTTTCATAGATACAGATTCAATAGGTATGATGAGATTTTTATAAAGCTCATCAAATATAAACCAGTACTTCCCAAAAGAGACTTACAGTAATCTCTCTCAGCCCTACAATCTGCCTCACACTTGAATACAACAAAATCTTAGTAAGAAACCCTACCTTCAGTTATGTCAGAAACTGATGAAGTATTTGTTACTCTAGGCATAACTTATTTTCCCTTTTATAGAAAGCCAGTGAAATAAGTATGGCTAGGGTAAGGGATGTCATTATTTAATATGGGATGATATGGAAAGTTATCATAAGCTGGGTTTTTGCTTTTATTTAAAATATCTATCTAACAATTCTGACTTTATTATAATTTCACAAATATTTACATTTACAAAGCACTCTTTCATAAGCAGGAGTCCTCTAACACTTCAAATATACTACTAACATATGGAACTCATTGCCTGGGCTGAAGCTAATATAAGACAACAAAAGGAATTTTCTTCTCAAAGGAATAACTTTGCACATTTGCATATTTTTATTTCTTTAAATTCTGGTCATGCACCCTCCATTTCCACTGAAAAGAGCTAAAGTAAAGCTGAAAACTAAAAATAAGTCTCAAAATAAGAGATATCAAGTTACTTGCTCTGCCTGATTGTAGAAGACCACCCAATCCCTGACTCTGGCACAGCTGTGTTTAAAGCATATTATTTATCTCAATTTTATCTATCAGTGTTATTACCCTTTTCATTCACTTTTTTGCTAAAAAAGTGCTACCCTAAAAGGAAATGACTGCTTAAATGGTCTTGCAGCTCCATACTTTTTGAGTCTACCCACGATTATTTTAAATTCTATTTTTTATAAACATGTAGTTTATTATATGCATTTGATATTCCCACAATGTGTTGTAGATTTCTAGAGTGGGAGTTTATAATCTCACAGAATATGCATCTGCCCTGGGGGATTCATTCTGCCACAAAATCCCGTTTGGCCAGTAGGGTATTTTCAGTAATAACACAAACAGTGCCCAAGCAAGACCTTATCCCCTGGCCACGAAATATATTTTAAAGGATAGTTCTTTTCCAGTAAGGTCTCCTTTTTAAAAAGTCACACAGAATAGTGCTCTGAAAGTACCAAAAAATGAAGAACTACTAAGATATCTTCTTTGCATGCATCAGCGACCATCAAGGAAAATACACAGCAAAATACAAAGATTACCACAACATGCTTCGAATAGCCAATTCACAAGGCAGAAGGAAAGGAGTATTTCTCTTAGAACGGATTACAAACTAAATCACTTGGCCTGAGAGCCAAGAAGGGCCCATGAACAAGGAAATCAGGAGAGAAGGGATGAAATGCAGAAGAAGACACCTACAGCAGGAGCAGCAGACCCTGACAAGCACAGAAGAGAGCCAGAAATCAAGACAGAAACAGCTCTGAACTCTAAGGTAACTGAAGTAATAAACTTAATCAGATCTCAATAAACCTTTAAAAAAAAAAAAAAAAAAAGCTGGAGCTTTTTCACATGCTGCATGCAGGGCCAATGCAGCCAGCCTAAAACAGCGGAATCAATAAGCTGCACATATTAAGATAGCCCCTAGGACCTAACCTGCCAGATACAGAATTTTAGAAGTTTGCCTAAACATGGAAAGGCTGAGTTTACATGCCAGATGTAACTGGCATTCCAGGATGAACCCCTGAAATAAAAGAAAAAACTTTTTTCAACAGCTTATTCATGTAAAAAGGCTGGTAAGCAGCTTCCACAGACAGTTTTAAACTCTGCGATTCTGGTTCTTTGCATGTGATGGGGAAAGTAACCAAGGCTGAATTTCTTTTAGATCATGCTCTTAACCATCTTCATTTATTTAACACACAGTACAATCCAAAGGAGGAAATGGACATTTCAGTTATTGGACATTTCAGTTATTTAACTGCAGCCAAGCAAGTTCTGAACATTTAAGAGATGAAGAGCTGTTTTCAGAATTAAAAAAACTTTTTGAGGGGAATCCCAAGTAACTGACAAAACCAAAACAGATTTAAGAAGACAACTGAATAAAATGAATTTGAAACAAAAGGGAATAAGAACATTGCTAATTTCTTTATTTTAAAAGTTATTTATTTTTTAAATAATTTGTTCAAATTCAAATTTAGCATATAAACAGTTAACAGAGACTGCACACACTCCCTACTGCATAAACCAAACTATCAAATGGAAGTACAGATTTTAAAGACTAAGCTGTTTTATGAGAAAAAAAGCCATGATTTTAGATCTAATGATTTTAGATTTAATGCACGTGAATCACATCTGAAGTTCTGAGTCTGCATAAGAAACAGTCCTCAGACATCTCTAAATTTCCAAACATCTATCATTATGGTGTATTTTCCACAGTAGGTGCGATCTAAGAAAACTATGCTCAGAATCCACATAATTTTGGAGGTAAGTAAGCACATCTAACCTAAAGTTTTAAGCAAGTCAACCCCTGGGTAACTTTTGGTACCAAATGTAGTGTCTTTCATAAAACTACTAATCTGAGAATGAAAGCCACTGACAGTGACAAAATAAAGAATGGAAATTAGGTAACTGTTTCTAATATGAAATTCGTGGTACTAGTACATTAGGATTTCCAAACATCAAGTCGATACTTAATGAGCCCACAAATACTGAGATCTGACCACAAGGAAGGCATATACTACTGAGTTCACACTAATGTTCTGCAACTAATTAGAGAGTAACCTAATATAGTGTCAAACTAGGTCAAAACACATGACAAGAATAAGTAGTACAAAACAGGCTATAAAATATAAAAGCCAATCTACAAAATGGATACAAAGATTTCCCTAGGAACAATATAAGGAAATGTTTTCTCTTATTAAAACTGTAAGTAGATGACAAGACTCAATGGGCAACTATAGAAATTGAACATAAAAGCAAAGTTTGTTGGAATCAGATATGGAATTATTCATAATGTATGATAGAGGCAGGCTAGCACAGATGGTAAATATCTGACAAAAATAACTGGAGATTTGGAGTTTTAGCATAGTTTTTAATTCAATGCTCCCCTTTTAGTCATTTAATATGTATTAGTAGCATCAAGTAGTTCAAGTATTACACAGACAAAATTCCTGGATACAATGAAACTAAACTTGGGTTCCCTGGATGGCACATTCTCTCTCCTTTACAAGCTGTCTTCTTCTAGCCTACCAGTCCTCTTCATTTATCTTCCCTCTGCTTTACCAGACTTCAACAAATAGGGTTCACTGTTCACTTTTTCCTCATCAGGTATCCTAGATGCTAGACAACTTAAAGCAATAAAAATGGTTATTTAAAACTTTGGAAAGCTTAACCCCCTTCACATGAAAGAACAAGGAGAATCACACTGTGAGAACACTATGAAAATAGTTTCTGGATCTCTTCAATGAAGGAGTATTAAGCAACAGAACGAAAGGGTCCATGTTGAGGGGGCATGAATAGGAAGGGGGATAAGGATAAGGAGAAAGCGACCTGCCCCAGTGTTTCTAAAGCTTTGTAATCAAGGCAAGTATATTTCCAGCACCACTTTTAGCATCAGTATGGTTTCAGGACCAAGTACAGTGTTCTCTTCCCCCTAAAAAAATACTTCCCCACCTATTTCTAAAATGCCTAAAATTTCTTCAACAAAAATTAGAGTTGAAAAGCTTAATTAAAAACAAGGTATAACCAGGACATTTGCAAGATAATATAGATGTGTTTCAGTTTCATTGCATTCAAATGGGATGTTTTGACAGAGAAAGACGGTATAAGATCATAGATATTTGGAACAGAAGGGCTGCTAATGTGACGAAGTAGAAAGGAAAAGAAGCAAAACACTAGACACTAAACTGGAGGACTTCACAGTTTGGATGGAGAGGTGACCATACCTCCCAATTCCTTCGAGATAAATCTCCAAATCCTTCATACTGCAAGACTTTCTTGGATAAACCCCAAAACATCCTTCCTTTTTTATCTTCTCCCACAGCCCTCCAGCATCTATACATAAAACTATATTTGCTCACAAATCTCAGAAGAGACCACGTCTTCTTGTGACTTGCTCCACTTTTGACATAAATTCTTCCTGTACTTTAAGTCCCAGTACAAACAGGTTTTTCTGTCTCCTCATCTTAATCTAAATTGGTCACTGCTTTCTCTTTTGCTTCCAAAGCATACAATTCATACTTCAATCTATGGTCCATCTAGTTGCCTAGGTCAAAAGTTGTGGAAGTCTTCTCTGTCTCCTTTCCCTCATTCATATTCCTCAATTCATGAGCAAATCCTGTTGGCTCAACCTTTAAAGATCCAAAATATGGCCACCTTCCATAGTCTCCACTGCTACCCTTCTGGTGCAAGCCACCATCACCTCTCACCTGGATTAATGCAATAGTAGTCTGGTCTCCCTGTACTCTTGTACACCCAACAATCAATGTGCCACACAATAGCCACATTTTTCCTTTTTAAGTAGGATCATGTCATTCCTCTGCTCAAAATATTCAAAGATTTTTCATCTCATTCTGAGTAAAAGTCAAAATTCTTACAATGGGATATAAATGTCCTACACCATTTATGATGGACCCTCCAGCCCAAATTATCTCTCATACCTATGCCCTCCACCCCTTACAGAATGAATTAATCTGTGTCTGACTATCCACATACCTAACCAGTTATTAAAGGCAGGCCCGATGCCTTTTAATTTCTGTACTCTTTTTTATCTCTCAAGTACAGAGCACAGTATTTGGCACATAATTCATGTTTAAATACCCATTAATTCAAAACCAACCAATCACTTACCTGGATCCTAGAACAGAAAAACAATATAATACAGAAAGATATTTTATTTTCTGTATGGCTGATGGTAAGTGCACATTAGCAGAAAACAGTGATGGAAAAGTGCCTCATCTCTGCTCCCAATATAAAAAGGTTTTGTTGTCGTTATTGTTTCTTTTAAAGCAAATGACCGGGCCAAAACCCTGTTTAGACAGGCAGCTTTTTCACTATAAAGCGAGATATATGAGAAATTAACTACAACTAGTAGGGAAAGAAAACACAAAAGACTATAAAGTTAATACAGTCTTAAAGATCTAACTTACAGATGCAAAAGTACTAAGCTCACAACAGACTGGCTTATTTTAGGTTTATTTTCCCAAATTCTACTTTTGTTAGTAGTGGTATATTCAGTACTAATTATTGCACAGGAAGATCAAAAACTAATTTTCCAGCAAGTTCCAGTGTTTCTGGGTCTCATCAAATAAAATCTGTGGTGAATGAGGAATTTTACTGCCCTAGAGTGGTTCTAATCACTTCCCCAGGGCAATAGACCAATGGAAAGTTTCAGTTATTGGAAAACCTCAAAGTTGATATGCACATCAAGCAACTGACTGTTAGACCATTATAATTATTTTATAATCATATAGACGATGTGATTAATAAAAACTAAAAAAATAATTTTAAAGTATTACTAGACTTAGAGCAGCTCTTCTCAATCATGGATACTAGAATACACAGCTTCTGTGGAGTGATGTTAAAAAGGAATCCTCAAAGAAGATGTGGTGTATATATACACAATGGAATACTACTCTGCAACCAAAAAGAATGAAACCTTGCCATTTGCGACAACGTGGATAAACTAGAGTATACTATGTTAGGCGAAATAAATCAGTCAAGACATATGATTTCACTCATATGTGGAATTTCACAAACTCAACAGATGAACATAGGGGAAGGGAAGGAAAAATAAGATAAAAACAGAGAGGGAGGCAAAAAGAGACTCTTAAATACAGAGAACAAACTAGGGGTTGCTGGAGGGGTGCTGGGTGGGAGGATGGGCTAAATGGGTAATGGGCATTAAGGAGGGCACTTGTGATGAGCACTGGGTGTTGTATGTAAGTGATGAATCACTAAATTCTATTCCTGAAACCAGTATTATGCTATATGTTAACTAACTTGGATTAAAAAACATACACACACACACACACACACACACACACACACACACACACGTTGAATAAATCAATGTTGAATAAAAACCATGAGAAGAATGGGGAAAAAAAAAAAGAAAAAAAGGAATCCCCACAGTCCAAAAGACTGGGAACAACTGCCCAGAGCTTTCAAAGTTATCATTCTATATACAATCCTTCACTTTTAGAGATAATATTACTGTCTAGATAAATAGGCATTTTCCCCATTCTGGTACTCAGACCTAATTGGCAGCATGGAAAGAGGTAACTTGGGTTTTAAGTCTTGACTATCCTACAAGTTAGCTTTTAAACCATGAACAAGACATTTTACTTCTATAGACTTCACTTTCTTCACTTACGAGAATGAATCCATCTTCCCTAACCACTTCATTAGAGCTGTTACAAGACAAAATCAGAATGGAATTTACAGTAGAAAATATGATACAAATATTACTACATAGAAGTCATGGAGGTAAATGTGAGGCTGAAATGGTTAAGTTTGTACTTGAACACTAAGCTAAAGAGTTTTCAGACTTGACTTCACAGAAAATAAAGAAGCATTAGAAGTTTTATGTTGGAGGACAGGGATTGTTGTAGTAGTGGTGGTAGTGTTGTGTGTCTGTGCAAACCAATGAGGTAATTGCACCTTCAGAGAAATCTAGCAGCACTGTCAAAGGATGGTGGGGGGTGGAAAGAACTAGAGGCTATTACATAATAGCCCGCATGAAAGATGGAAACTTGGGAGTACACCACTGACTGTAAGATAAGAAGGGACTGACTTAAGCACTGCAAAAGGACCTCAAAAGCTGCATTTAATGGTGAAGAAAAGAATTTCAACAAAAGCAGACAGATGGACAATAACCCAAGGAAAAAAATTTTTTTTCTTATTTTATTATTGGAAAAGATTGAGTTTAAAGTGTTAAATTTGAGACATGTGGAGGTACTTAAGTAGCAATATCCAACAAGGGTGTGAAATTAAACCTCAGGAAGAGGTTGTACACATAACTGTAGATCTGGGAGTTAGCCGCTTAAGATGGTTGAAGACATTACAGAAAAGAGTGAGAAGTATCGGGGGTAGTGAATAAAGAATCCCAAATCAGAAGAATCAGAAAAGTGGGCAGAAGTCAAACCAGGGAAGGACAAAAAAAATTTTTGAGATATGATAGAATTCATTATATATGTTCTAACTTACAGAAATATTCAAGATGAAATTCAAATGATGCTGCAGAGTGATATTTGATTTAGAATTAAATGCTAAGGAGAGAGTTTAGAGGACACTTTTGCCTTGGTTCCTATTTACAGAAATATTATCTTCCTCTGATAAAACATGATAAAACAATCTGTGGGCTCCTGGAGTAAGCCTTCTCCAATATCCCTCTAGTCAACATTTTGGAGTTCATAAATCACATTCTTCCTTCATATACCTTCCACAAACTTAGCTGAAGTGAAGTAGAACAAGTTGAAGGTGAGAAGGGAATACCTGAGACCACACTGCCTTTAAGCATTAACAATCTGAAATGATGCTGATAAGCCAAAAGGCAACAAAAGGTGAAGATGGTTTTCTAGAGAGAAAGAAGATGTTTGCTTTGGTTTCTGATCATAGTCTACAGGTGCTTATTATAGAGGCCTAAAGGTCATTACCCTTGGCTTTATTTTTATGAAATAATAAAAATAAGCTTATCTTAATTTTCTGCTCACATTAAAAAACTGTAGCACTCAAGGAGTCCAGTTCCATTTAATTCTGTGCCTTAAAACAATGACTTCTTTATTTATAGCACAATACAATAACTGGCTTCCATCTGTACCCCTACATGGCCAAGAGCACTGTTAGGTATATTCTATTTAAAGTGGCAATAAAATATGATTTTCCTCAAAAATAACATATTTTAGCACTTCAAATGTTGAATTTTAGGTATTTGGGAAATTTCATTATCCATAACCTCATTATCCAGCAATATGAGACACAGTTGGCATTAAGTCTTAACATTTTGCCACTAGTAACTCATTCACCCATCTTCCAAGCCAGCAATGTGGACTCCATCCTAGAGTCTCCTTTTCTCTAACTTCCAAGGATTAATCATTCACCACTTAAACAGCTCTCAAAAAAAGTTCTATCAACATTATCATTTGTCTAAGTATTAACCCATTACCTAAACTAACTGTGCCTCAAATTATAATAATCAGGTTTAGGGCTTATGTTTAGATATTCAACATCTTGTAATATGTTCTATCTTTACAGTACTAAAAGCCTACAAAGACAGCATGTTAATGCAAAATCAAGAAAGTGTTCCTTTCAACAAAGCACTGCCTCCTCACAATTATTCTATCATCTTATTTAGGAATAAGTGCCTCCAGGTATTCCAAAATGTTAAATTCTCCCACAACCCCTGGGCCTGGGTTAGATTTCCAAACCCTTTTCCACTAACATCTATGAATAAGAACAATGTTAACTTCTTGGGAAGTACAAAAGCAAAGTCCTAATCTCAATAAAGTAAATGTTCCTAAGATCTTGATTATATTACAAATAAGAAAAAGGAACAAATCTATCTACATAATTATAATGGATTTCTTTTTTTAAGTTTGTATTTAGTAAAAAGTCACTAATTTAGTATTTTGCTATAATCTAAAAACACAATAAAATGTTAAAAAGCAAGGCAGTTACCTGAGGAGAGTCAAAAGGGTATCGACTACTAAACTTAAATAGAAGTTGAAATTTTTCTCCTTCATATAAGGTACCTGGTGCACCTTCCATGTCTACAATCCACCTAGAACAGGAAAAAAAAATTTAAAAACTTCAGATAAGAGGAATTGGGATGAGAAAGAGAAAAGGAACACTGAAGACTTCCTCTATGCCAGGCATTAGCTTTCAACAGCACGTTTCATCCTACTGCACATTAACTCCCTCGCCCTGTTCCCTTCTCTGACACTCAAGGGTTATTTAACCAGATCAAAGTCAGACAACTAGCAGAGGACAGGGCCAAATTTTAACCCAGGTCTAAAAACACAAAATAAAACCCAACTCAAGTGTGCTGACATTAAAGCCTGTGCTCTTTATTTTATGCAGAAATTATTATATGCAGGAACACTATTTTTATAACACTATTTATCATATGCAGAAACACTATTTCTGCAATGACTGAAAAGATTTTATAGATAACATGAAACAAATGAACTGCCTTTCTGATGTCATTTTAGAAACAATGGTGGAAGTAGACATCAACAACGACTAGAGAATCATGGCCATTAGACACATCTTCTCATCAGTACTCTAGAGAAGACTAAACAGGAAAAAGAAGCTAAGCTGACATCAGTCCACTTACTCCGATGGCTATTCAAGGCTCTATATGCCTTTCCTTTGCGTCTTATGTTTCAGTTGTTTAATAAAACTTAGAAGAGATTCTATGGCCTCTTTACAAGCATACTTTGTTTCCACATATAACAATCATGAATACAAATCTGTTTATAATTATAGTCTGTACACTTATCTCTTGCTCTTTTAATTTATTTTTCAGTAATCTCTACACCCAACATAGTGCTCAAACTTAAAACCCTGAGATCAAGAGTCGCATGCTCTACAGACCAAGCCAGCCAGACACCTATCTCTTGCTCTTTTAAAAAAAAAAAAAAGGAGGAACAGGAGTAGAACAAGGGTTATGGTGGCAAAGATGATAGAGTCACATTGCGAAGCAAAAATGGACCAGTCATAAGAATGAATTCCTAATTATCTCTCTGGCCAATTCCTTTCCTCTTAAATTTTTTAGGTATAAAAATGTACTACTTTAAGTACAGGGAAACAAAAGGAAGTAATATTGAGAATACAGGGTTGGGGTTCTAGTCACGATTCCATATACTATGGACTTTAGAGTATGTAAAATAATAAATGTGTCTACTCTCTGAAAGCAATCAGCTAACACATACAGGCCCTTAAGAACATAGCTATTCATTTTCAGAATGCGTGCTGAATACTATACATGGCAATAAAAAATATAAGCCAAGAGCCAATATTTTATCATGAAATTACATAGGTCTGTCCTTTAGCTGTGTGGCCATGAGTAAGCGGTTTTACCTCTCTTGTTTGAACTATTTCAATTGTAAAATTGATATTAAAAACAAGTTAAAATTTCATTGAAAATAGATATTCATCTCAAAGTGTTGGAAAGATAAATCGCATAGCACTTTCCTGATATTAGAACCAGTATGCAGTAAATTAAATATAATGCAGGGATACCTGGGTGGCTCAGTCAGTTAAGCGTCTGACTTCGGCTCGGGTCATGATCTCATGGTTCGTGAGTTCGAGCCCCCCCACCCCACCCCAAGTCGGGCTCTGTGCTGACAGCTCAGAGCCTGGAGCCTGCTTCAGATTTTGTGTGTGTGTGTGTGTGTGTGTGTGTGTGTGTGTGTGTGTGTCTCTGTGCCCCTCCCCCACTCACACTCTGTGTCTCAAAAATGAATAAAAACGTTCAGAAAATGTATAATGCATAAACTGCATTAAAAACAAAAATCTATTCTCTTTAAAAACTGGGTCCTTTCTAGCTATCTTGACATCCACTATGCAGTGATTATTCCAAGGAAAAATCAGAGGACTTCCTGGTGCCCTTTCTGTTTAAAGGCAAATTTTAGGATATAATGTACCACAAATTTACATGTGATCTATCCAAACACAGCTTTTAAATAATAGCTAAGTGGGGCGCCTGGGTGGCGCAGTCGGTTAAGCGTCCGACTTCAGCCAGGTCACGATCTCGCGGTCCGTGAGTTCGAGCCCCGCGTCGGGCTCTGGGCTGATGGCTCGGAGCCTGGAGCCTGTTTCCGATTCTGTGTCTCCCTCTCTCTCTGCCCCTCCCCCGTTCATGCTCTGTCTCTCTCTGTCCCAAAAATAAATAAACGTTGAAAAAAAAAAAATTTAAATAATAGCTAAGCAAATATCTCAGTAATCCTTCCAATACCTGGGTGAGATCGGTCAAAGAAGGCATAATTTTCAACACTGTACAGGGTAATTTTAAATAACTTTTGCTAATTAAAAAAGTAATGCATGTTTGTTCACCACAGAAAATTTAGAAAGGTATAAATAAACAAAAGTCGCCCAAAGATAATCACTGTTGAAATTTTTGGGGTATGTTTCATTCTAGTCATTTTGTAGTTTCTTTATCTATGATATTGACATCTAATAGTTGAATTATGTGCACACTTATATACATTCAAATCACCAGTGTTTATGATTCCAATTATGGGTACATGCCTCTGAGGATGAATATGGGAGAAGTTTCAGTTCTTAACTTCCTGTGAATAACTATTGTTCTAGGATTCTAATGTTTAGACAGGTATTTTTCATGCATTCATAGCTCCTACTAACATACGGATTTTCACAGGTAATTAGGACTATACAAAATTTTTGTGTTTCATGCTATCAGCTGTAACTCAGGGGATGCCATTTCACTGAGAAACCATTTCCCAATTATAGATATTTACATTGTTTCCAAATTGTCCCCAGAAATAGTAATGTTGAAAGAAGTATAGTTAGTTCTAAGTTAATTTTGTTTTTTTAAATAAGCTCTATGTCCACCAACATGGGGCTTAAACTCATAACCCAGAGATCAAGAGTGGCATGTTCTACTGAATGAGCCAACCAGGTGCCCCTGGGCTAGTCTTTCTGTATCTCTGTTCCTTCCTTAAGACAGCATCGGTTTATTTCTTAGGTCAAAGGATATGACACTCTCATTTTTAAATATCTTAATATATGCCACCAAACTGTCTTCCAGAAAGCTTAATGTGCTTTCATTATAATTCTTATCCCATTTAAACACATATTTTAAGATAGAATTTTCTAAGAGTATTTATAGATCCTGGAAGATAAAGATATAAAACTTTTGTGATTGATTTACAATAAATTATTAAAAAAAAAAAAA